AGTGCACCAGCAAGGGGAAGTCTCTTGGGGTCCCCAGAGGGGCCACTCCTGACTCAGCCAGTGGAATGAGGGGCTGGTGTGGACCTCTGTTCTGGGCACCAGAGTCTGCTGCCCTAAGGGTGTGGATGGTGCAATCCTGGAAATGCCACGGACTCGAGACTTCCTTGCTCTGTAGCCTGAGGATGGCTGAGCTACATGAATGAGGCCTCCTGTTTCTTGGGCAGAAGTCACAGCCCCTGCCTGACACTGCCTGCAAGCCCTGCCCTGGGTGTTCCTAGCTAAGGGCAGCCCCACTGTGCTGTATCAAAGAGTGGCTCTGTACAGAGACAAGTGCCACTCCCATCTCCCATTGCCCACCGAAGGGGAGTCTCTAAATCCCCGGAAGTTTGGAAGGGCAGACCCTAAAGTATTGCACTGTGATTCAAGACCAACCTCATGCAAGAAGCAGAGCTTACCCCCTCATAAACCTGCCCCCAGAAGTCTCTAACCTCGCAAGCTTTAACCTGGAGCCTGCAACCCCACGTCCTAGGCTTGCTAGGTGAAGAACAGGGCACCCCAGGGAGGACTGCATTTCTCTACACCAAGCATCTAAAGGGAAACCTGGGATACGTGACTTTCTCTTCTCCTAGGTGAAGAAGCAGTCACCAGCCAGCCCCAGGTCCTCGAGAAGCCATCTCCCACCTTGGGCACCCAAGTGTGCAAACCAAGCACCAAGCGCAAGAGGGGCCCCAATTCCAAGGGCTCCGGGACTCAACTGATTTGAGATGTGCTTACAGATCCAGTCTCTGCTGGAGATTCTGGGGGGTGACACAGCACTGTAAAGGCTCTGGGAAGTCGCCGATAAACACATCTACTCCTTCTCCAACCTTCTCTCATCAATATTGCCAAGGTGGCAAGATAATTTGAGAGAGTGGAATATGTTTTCTTTTTTTTTTTTTTTATTTGACAGGGTTAGACAGTGAGAGAGAGACAGAGAGAAAGGTCTTCCTTCCTTTGGTTCACTCCCCAAATGGCTGCTACGGCTGCAGCTACACCTATCCAAAGCCAGGAGCCAGGTACTTCTCCTGGTCTTCCATGAGGTGCAAGGACTTGGGCCATCCTCCACTGCCTTCCCGGGCACAGCAGAGAGCTGGACTGGAAGAGGAGCAACCGGGACTAGAACCCGGCACCCATATGGGATGCCAGTGCCGCAGGCGGAGGTTCAACCAAGTGAGCCACAGTGCTACCCCCCCCCTTAAGATTTATTTATTTGAAAGGCAGAAGGAGAGAGAGAGAGAAAGAAAAAGAGACAGGGAGATCTTCCATCTGCCGTTTCACTCCCCAGTGGCTAAAACAGCCAGGGCCGGGCCAGGCTGAGTCCAGGAGCCTGAAGCTCTGAGTCTCCCACACAGGTGCTAGGAGCCAAACATTTGGGCCATCTTCTACTGCTTTCCCAGGCAGATCAGCAGGAAGCTGGGTTGGATGTAGAGCAGCCAAGACTCGAGGCAGCACCCATATGGGATGCTGGCATTGCGGATGGCAGCGTAACCTGCCACACCACACCACCAGCCCCAGTGTGTTCATGCTTACGGGTCAAATCAAAGACAGCCATGCCCCTACCTAGGCTTTTGTGTGGCAGACCTGAGGCTTCCCTCGTATTTGAGGTCAAGTTCAAATATTTTTATATTTTCAGAAACAATTGGTGCAAGAAGTAGAAAGAGGCTCTAGGGTTTGGAGAGGACAGAAGCAGCTGGCCCTGGGGAATTTGTTTACTGTGCACTACATACTGGGAAGTGCGTATGAGGGCGGCTGGGTTCCTTCCCTGAGTTCTTTACATAATTGATGGAAGGTATCATTCCAGTCACAAAACAGAGATGACCTCAAAGCAGGCTGAGTATCGGCATCTGGACAAAAAGTGGAAATTCACTTGTATTCACTTGGGACACCTAAGCTATTTGGCCTCACGTGAAGAAAGCTGGCTCTTCTTGTTAAGTTCTCCATGACTTCGACCTGAAGTAAAAATCCCAAATCCATTAACCCTGGTTGTGTATAATGAATGACCACATGCACTGAGTGATAGGGAATAACCCCAGCAGTGTTTGATCCCAGGGAAAGACTTATGTTACAGTGATAAGCAAAATTCAAGCTGCCATACAGAATGGTGCACACATACAGGTGAGTCTTCTTATTTGTGGAATTCCATACAATCACTACAAATATTGGATTAGTGGCTATGAAACCATAGCTCCATGGGAAAATAAAGACCAGGTACTACAAGCTTCTGGTCACATCAGTTTTATCAGTGGATCAATACATAACCTTGTTAACACACCTTACGTAACTTACACGGTTGATCTGTCAACACTGGACTCAGGACCAACAGCAGGATGACCCCTGTGTGCAGGAAGCTTATCTAACACATGTTTTTGTACCACACTCTGCATGTCTTCAGAACACTAAATGCTGTTAGTGTTGCATGCAGCGCAGCACTGTATCCTCGGGGGTCATTTTAAGCGCAAAGGTCGGCCCGCGCCACAGCTCAAAAGGCTAATCCTCCGCCTGCGGCGCCAGCACACTGGGTTCTAGTCCCGGTTGCCCCTCTTCCAGGCCAGCTCTCTGCTGTGGCCCAGGAGTGCAGTGGAGGATGGCCCAGGTCCTTGGGCCCTGCACCCGCATGGGAGACCAGGAGAAAGCACCTGGCTCCTGGCTTCGGATCAGTGCAGTGTGCTGGCCACAGCGGCCATTGGAGGGTGAACCAATGACAAAAGAAGACCTTTCCCTCTGTCTCTCTCTCTCTCTCTCTCACTGTCCACTCTGCCTGAAAAAAAAAAAGCACAAAGGTCACTAACAAAAAGCATAATAATGTAAAAAAAAAAAAAAAGAAATGTGGCACTACATAGAACACAAAAATGGTACTTGCTTAGAGGTTGGGAGCTGCACCAAGACAGCTCTGCCTCTGCCAACTTCACTTGGGAACAGGGGCATTGAACGACTTGGAGTTTTTACCACTCTGCACAGATTTGCAAATAACCACACAATGCCATAAGTCATCCTGATTTGGGATGACAAACACCTGTTAGCGAGTAGGTGACTGTGAAAACCAACTCTGCAAGTATAAAAATTAACCTATTATCTTCACGATCATAAAAATTAATAATCTCTTTTAAAATTTGTATTAATATGAGAAGAGATTCCATGTATTTCATAGGTAAAATTCTAAGAAGATAACCACATTTCCCTCCCTCCTCCTCTCCCTCCCACCACACCCCCTCCTTAGCTATGCTCAGGAGTTCAGTGACGACTGTCGATACTGTATACCACCATGTCTGACGGCTGTGCACTGGCAAGCGCTGGCACAATGTCTCTTCCTCTGTTTTGCTGAGTCTAGAAGATGAACACACCCAGCTTCCCTTCTGAATTGCATTTCCTCTCTAAAGACCGCATAAGCATCTCAAGAAAAACACAAAACCCAAAATGTGTCCACATCTCCATGTATGGCAAATCTCTGAACATAAGGAGACACCCCCACCTCCCCAGCGTGAAAGTTTGAACAGAACATTCTTAACTAATGCAAATACGCCCGTAACAGCATCGATTAGTCAAATGCACAGTTGCACCTAGATAGTGCATATCCCACATGACACAGGATAAGATGTTATGTTTTAAAGATTGCTTTTTTTGTCCTCTAAATGTTTTATAGCAGACTTTTATTCAAACTGCTCACTTGCTTCAACACCCTGGACCCCAGCACTCTTAGAACCGGATCTCTGGTGATCACTCAACACCCAGGACCCCAGCATTCCTGGAACCGGATCTCTGGTGATCACTCAACACCCTGGATCCCAGCACTCCTGGAACCGGATCTCTGGTGATCACTCAACACTCGGGACCCCAGCACTCCTGGAACTGGATCTCTGGTGATCACTCAACACCCTGGACCCCAGCACTCCTAGAACTGGATCTCTGGTGATCACTCAACACCCTGGACCCCAGCACTCCTGGAACTGGATCTCTGGTGATCACTCAACACTCAGGACCCCAGCACTCCTGGAACTGGATCTCTGGTATTCGCATGGCATTTTCCAGAGATGTCAATGTCCCCTCTACTTAAGTATCCTAAGAAAACACTTTGTACATGTGTACATGATGCAATCACTCTAACTTCTATCCCAAGATGTTAGTGCCCATTGGTACAAATTAGGACAGTTCTCCTGAAGTGGTCTAACAAAACATTTCTTTTTAAAGTGCTTAATTTTATGTTTATTTGTTTATTTTTACCTAATTGAAGGATGAGAGGGAAAGAGAGTGCGGGAAGGGAGGGAGGGATGGACAGAGGAAGGAAGGGGGAGAGAGAGAGAGAGAGAGATCTTCCAATCTTTCCAAATGAGATACCAGTCAGGCCTTGGCCAGGCTGAAGCCAGGACCCAGTAACTCCATCCTGGTCTCCCATGTGGGTGACAGGAACCCAAATACTTGACCTATCACCCATTGCTTTCCTGGGCGCATTAGCAGGAAGCTGGCACTCCATTATGGGATGCCAACATCACAAGCAGGGGCTTAACCTGCATTTCAGAAGGTAATTTTTAATTAATGACCTTGAAAAGATACACTCTTCTTCCTATGAATAATCACTACTCATGTGTTAATAGTGCCTATCTATCATCTCTGTCTCTACCCCTACGTCTCCCTCCCTCTCTCTTTATCATTCTTTCTGGTGTCCCCTGTGATTATCCCAAACTGACATTTATTGTTACCACTTAAGGCTAATGTATCTTCCCTACACAATACCCACTGGTCAAATTAAATTAGAAGACTATCTTGTAACAGCAGATAAATGATAAGGATTTGAATACTAAGCAACTCCTTTCTTTCTGAAAGATAATTTGAGCGAGGGGAGGTGAGATCTTTTCCTTACACTTGGACATATGTTGTGATTCTATTCAAGAAACACAGGCAAAGCCTCACTAAAGCTTGAAAACCAATTGGTGGAGCTGCACACAAACTATTGCACAGTGTGCAAGAGAATACCATGCAGCCATCAACAAGACGAGGTGGCTCCTCGTGCAAGCATGTGACAACGCTGCCACGCGTCTGTCCCATGAAAAGAGCAACGTGCATGACGGAGTGTGTGACAGACTGTCAGGTACTGAGGCAAAGCAGGAATGGACACACACACACACACACACACACACACTTTAGTATTGCATGTAGTGTTTCCTGGAGCATGTCCTCGCCCCCTCTCCCTCCTAAACACTTGGCAATGGTGACTGCTTCCAGGAAGGGGAACTGAGTTGCCAGCACTCCTGGGAAGGAGGCTGATTATTCACTGTAGGTTCTCCCAAACCTTTCAAGTAATAAGCGGAGAATGCTGGTTGTAAAATATGTAATTAAAGTAATTGTGAGACTATATTCAGCAAGGCACAGATCAGGAGAAAATATTTCCCCTTTGGTAGCCCTTTGATAAAGGATCCACAAAATCTGTAAAAAGCCCCCCAAACTCAGTGAGAAAAGAAACAAACCCATTTTAAAATGACCAAAAATACTATGTGCACAGATGCTCAAAAGAGGAGACATATTTTGCAAATATATACATATAATTATGCTTGATGTCATTACAGACATGCAAATTAAACCACAGGAGACATAACCACATGCTGATTAGAATAGCTAAAACTTTTTTAAAACAACTCTTGGAGCTGGTGTGTATGTGGATCAGCTGGGATTCTCCTGAAGAGTGTGCTATTCCGGAAGGAATGCAGGTGGTGCAGCTACTGTAGAAGACAGCCCTGTGGTTTCTTATAAAAGAACCCTCCACCGCCCACACGACCACGTGTCCCCACACTAAGGTATTTAGAGAAAAGGAAACCCACATCTGTATGCTAATGGCCACAGAAGTTGGGTACAGAAGCTGAGTTAGAAATGGCCCCAGTGAACTTCCACTGATGAATGGGTAAACAAACTTTGGTGTACCAACACAGTGAACTGCTGTCCCATTAGAAAGAAAAAAGCTAATGGTACAGAAACACCATGACAGAACCTCAAAACTGTTCTGCTAAATCACAGCAGCCGTTTGTGCAGTCAGGGCTGCCTCACAACAGGGCCACTTTCATTCCGGGAAGTGCTTGTTAGCCGATTCTGGTGCTGTGTAAACGACAGAGCGTTTCTTCTGCACCAACTCAGACGGCGAGGATGTCATCAGGCAGTGGCATGGATGGGGGCACTGTCCTGGATGAGGGTTGTCGTTGACCACAGCTTCCTCCCGGACACATGATTACATGGCATTCTGGTAAGGGCAAAAACCACAGGAGCGGAAGACAGCCCAGTGCTTATCGGAGGCTGGGGAGGGACGGGGACATTGATTATCTTGGGCCAAGAGGGAATTTTAGGGTAATGTGGAGATTGCTACACAGCTGCAGATGTGTGTCAAATTGCACCAAACCGAACACCAGAAAGGAATATTTTTCTGTACATAAATTACTCCTCCATAAATCTAGTGTAGACCAAGTCCACCATGGGCACTGTGCGTGGCCATCTAACTTGTTTCCTGAAGAGAGGGGAAAGAACAATGAGGAACGTGGGCAGCTCTGCTGTGGACTCCCCGAGAGCGTGCCTGGCACTCTGCCTTCCGAGATGCTGAAGTCTCTGCAAATGCAGCTGGATGGGGCCCAGCCCACGACATTGCCTGTGGGGAGAAGCATTAATATCATTATCCACCCCAAACGCTGAGTGACAAGCTCGCTATCCCCACTGGGCACAGAGACTTCAAGTGCGAGTGCGATCTTAATTAGCTGCTCCTCTTTCCAACACGCTTATGAAGACGGCTTCTCCAAGGTCAGAAAGAGATGGGGGGATTTGATTAAAGTCAGTCACTGGGAAAATAGCATTAGTGTAGACGTAGAGGCTGAAAAGGACATGAAAGGTGCACTTTTATAACTTTGCCCATTGCCCTGACAATTACACTCTGAACGGGCATTTCCACTGTGACCGTGTGGCATACTCATAATCTATTACAAAAGCAATACCTTTGAACGATGTTCAGTTTTAAATCATGAACTCGAAAAAACACACAAACCTCTTCAGACACCCTGCTAAGTCGCTTCGTCCCCCGTAATCCTGAATTACTAGCACTTCGTGGCTTTGGTTTCATTATTCTGACAGCTGAAATAACATACTCATGGCTTGCATCTGTCTTGACTCTGTGGGGTTAGGAAAAGAATGGGCAGGTTACGCCTGGTATTTTCTAAATTAACTCAAGCTCTGCAGTTGCCTGCAGGCCTACAAGGTTCAATCCGTGTGCATCGTCCCTGAGGAGGTGGTAGAAACGAACAGAAGGTTCCACTTGACTAGATGCCATTGTCGTGAGAAGCCAGGTGTCACCCTTTATAATGTAAAGAAAAAAATGTAATCTTTCAAGACAAATTAAATGAATCCATTCTACCTTGAAAGAGATAAATTAGTACATAATATACAAAAAGTAATTCTTCTGATAAGCATGGTATAGCAGCCTCATGACGGTGAAATCAAAGAGCAAATTTAATACCTTGTGAAGTTTAAATTTTAGAAGGTGATGGTTGAGGAGAAGGAGGAGGAAGATGGAGAGGAAGGAAGAGGAGGAGAAAGAAGAGAATGTTGGTGGTGGAAGCGATAATGTCGTGGCTGCTCAAGAAACGCTTCCCCAGAACCCCACAGTCTTCCAGAGAACCACAAAGGGAGTGATTACATCTGCTGGTCTATAAATAGCTACAGGCGAATGGGCCTTGTGGTTCATTTTAAACTTCCATAAACAGAACTCAACCTGCTGGATGAGCCAGGTTGTCAAAACATCTTTCCTTTATATCACCTATAAAAGGAAAAAACAAACAAACAAACAAACAGATTCCAACAAACCAAGATTCTTGGGGCTCAAAGGATGAGTGAGCTGAACCTAGAGGACTGAGTATCCCAAATGGCACAGACACAGCAGGGAAGGAATATTTAAAGAAAATGCAAAAGACAAAGAGCAGGAGAGAGGAGGCAGCAGAGGAGAAGAGAAAGCAAAAAAAAAAAAAATGGAATCTGAGAAGTGGATGGAGGAGGTAGCCTGGGCCTGCAGGGGCCATGGGACCTGGGTGGAGGCACAGCCACAGGGCAGTTCTCCTTTCTGACCCTCCCCAGTGGATCAGGGCCCCAAGACCCCTGGTCTGGCTCGTGCACATAGGAGATGCACACCCAAGACTGAAATGGAGATGCTGCCAACTCCATGACCTCATCCAACCCCACCACATCGGTCTGTTTTCTGTTGGTATCAGAAAACACCTGAGGCTGGATACTTACTTGGAAAAGTCGTCTTATTTAGCTCACAGTTCTGGAGGCTCAGGACATGGTGTCCACATCTGCATTGGTTCTGGTGAGGGCCCCCTGGTTGTGTCACACCATGGCATGAGCTCGCTCTGTGAGGCCAGCAATGACCCTTGCAAGGACAGGGCATCCAGTGGCCCAGTTGCCTTGCACGGAGCCCCACCTCCTAGAGGTTCCAGCACCCCCACACACACCACCCTGAGGGCCATACCTCTTTGAATATGCAGGAAAAACTCTCCAAACCACATCAGCCACCCAAGGCTTGAGAGATGATTCCGGAATAATTGAAACAAGGAACCTGGGGGCTCGGGGAGGAAGACATTTTTGCAGTGATTGGCAAAGAACTGGAAATGGGAACCAGGGAACGGTGCCGTGGCCCCTCCTGACCTGCACGTCTCTGCTCCCCACCTACACCATCGCACAGGGCAGCCAGGCAAGAACAAGGGTGGGCAGGTGGGCTGCCTTCCTCCAGCAGGCTTTTTGCAATCTTCCATTTATTTTGGTCAGTGTTGATGAAGAGTATCATCCTGAATGAGGAGTCGGGTTGCATGGAAGACAAGGCTGGTTATATTCTGCAATATAAGCAGACAGCCACAAATGTCAGGGCCAGGAAACACAATCAGGACATGGGCACCCCCGACTCCACAGCCAATGTCAGAGAAAGACCAGGACCAAGAATGGGCGGGACCCTAGGTTCTCCCAACCCCACCTCTCTGCCTCTGCCCCAGAGGGAACCACCATTCCTAATTTTGTGCATTTCTTTCTCTTGCCTTTTAAAAATACTAATAATTGTGTCAGATATGTGTATATTCCTAAGCAATGGACCATTTATAAATACATATAGTACATTATGTATATGGTGTTGGTGAGGATGGAGAGAAGTTAGAATTCTTGTACACTGTTGGAAGTAATGCAACGTGGTATAGCCACTGGGGAAAACAGCATCATTTTTTAACAGGACAAACATTAAAGATGGAAATTCCAGATGATCCAGCAATCCCAGTCCTGGGGCTGCATCCTAAAAGACTGAAATCAGAATCTCAAAGACACATCCACATGTCCATTGCAACACCATTCCCAAGACACAGAAACAAAAGAACGCACCTTTAGTGCTGCTTGATTTCCAGCGTGACTAAGGAGTGTCATCTTCCAGTGCCGACCCAAAGTCCTGAGCTCAGTTCCACCCATCACCACGCGTCGGTGGGCACCTTTGGGTCACTCCTTTCTGCAGCTGCAGGAAAACCCCCTAAATTGTATGCATTGACCACTTTTCCTGTGGATTTGACATTTAGGCTATTCTTGTTTGGGCTTTTGAAAGTTGCTAAAAATAATAATACTAAATTTAAAAAAAAAAAAACATTCTCAAGTGCTTCCAAGTTTTTACCCCCTTGGGCAGGAGTTTCTCTAGCATATACAGAGAATCTGGGGGCCGCGGGTTTTACTCATGTGCAAGGATGTAAGATAATGCGTTCCAAAGTGCTTGTTTCCATTTACAGTCTTACCAGCAGTGTGTGTGCTCCTGCAGGAAAAGCACTTAGCAAAGTCAGAGTAGACCCGGCTATTGGTTTCGCTTCCCTTGTTATGTTCACACTCCACTTGCTGCACAGGCACTGTCTCCGGTACTCGGCACAACCACTCCAGGAGGTAACAGCTATCACTTTTCCCATTTGGAAGCCCAAGAGGCGGAGACTTGGAGAGGCTGGGTGCACTCCCTGTGCAGGGTCTCCATGTAAGGGAGGCACGCTGAGAGGCAAGTAATCTGCCCCCCCACTAGGCTCCTGCTTCACCTGTTACCCACGTTGCCAAGCCACCTCAGTCCTGATGCCAACAGCTGCCTTTGCTTCCACGTCCCGACAGTCCTGCCCGGGACTCTGTCTTCTGGTCTTCGCAACGTTACCTCCACAGAGTCTCCGCTCTGCTGAATCCTGGGGACCCAAACCTGTGGTTTCTACTCAGACCTGAGCATAGCTCTTCAGGGTGGACACACTCCTCAGCCTGCCTTGGATCCCCCTTCCGAATGCCTGGGAGGAACGGACTCCATTCACCTTTCCTGGCCAAGGTGCCCTGTGACTCACACCCACCACCAATCCACAGGCACCATCCGTGGCTCCTGCGGCCCATCCTCTCCTGAGCCCAAGCAGAGCAGACCCTTGCCAGGTGCCAACATGGCCAACAGGGGTCTTGCTAGCAGCGTGACGTTGTCACTCAGCTCAGGGCACTGTGCCCTACACCCTGGAGAAAATTGCAGTGATGATTAACGAAGGCAGGTGTGTATATAAAGTGTACACTACAGCATTCTACAACAAGCCTCAGCGTATGGTAGCTACACACCACGGGCACTTCTAGACATCTGCACCTCAACACGGTCTATGCACTACCTCATGCTGACCGGTGACGTGATCTTCACTGAGGCCTGCAAGGCAAAGTGTGCCTTAGTGAACCTTGGCTCTTGACCTTATCTCTGTCATCCTCAGCCAGCCCTTCCTGTTCCTGGCTCTTACATCTGAAAACGAGAAATCAGAGATCAGTGATTCCCTAGGACTCCTCCTGATCCAACGTATCTCTTCCATTAGCTTTCCAATTACCCCACCCAGTTTAATCTATTAAGAATTATTGATTAAAGCTTGCCAAGCCTAGGATTGCTTTTCACCTCTGTGCTAGAATGTGACTTAAACCTATTTCCGTGTCAGTTGAAATGGAAAACGCAGAGCACCGTGACTATGGCACAGAAAATACTCCAAAGGCCCTGTCTAGATTCCCTCTGAACGTGACGCCCAGCAGCCGCTGGCCCTTCCCTGAGCCCAAAGCCAGACTGGCAAGCGGCTAGCACTTGCACCTGCTCCTTCCCACCACCGGGAGAAACTCCAGCAGTATGTGCACATGGGCCCATTTCCCGCAGTCAGGTGGTAACAGAAGCTGGAGAAAGCTGGGTCTCTCTCCACGGACTTCCCCGCCATCACATTTCCCACTGGGCCAGGTGGCACAGGAGTAGCCAAGAGCCCAGCTGAGGGAAGTTGACTTGGGGGTACATTTATTGTGGCTTCGGTAGAATGGGCATGTGGCTTGCAGTGACTTCCCTGTGGAGTTGAATTGTTGAGGCTGTCGGGGGCAGGAGTGGCTTCCAGCGACACTTTTGCTGCCCACCTAAGGGCCTCGCTGTTGTAATGCCAGGACACAAGGGCATGTTCTGATGTGGTTGTGTGCTACAGTCACCAAAGCCAGCAGCATGTGTCAGTGCAGGAGAAAGAATATGTAGAGCCAGAAGCTGGAAGATTCTGTGAGTTACTCTTCCAAATGTCACAGCTTATGACGTGAAAAAAACTTGATACAGGAATTTAAAAATTTGGCAACAATCCTGAACATTTGCCAATGATTTTTACCTGTGTCCTAACAGTAGAAGGTTAGGAAGCTAAAAGAAACTTCATAATCTACCAACAACACAAAAAAGTTTAATTAACAATGACAGAATAAGGACTAAATTATCTTGCTAGTCTCTATAAAAAGCAATGTCACAAAACTGCCGTCAAAGACGCTGCAGCCAAAAGATCAAGGGGAAAATGTTACAGCATATACCCAGCAGATAATTAATACAATATTATGCTAAATGTGAAGTTTGTAGTGTTTGTCAGCTTGAAATTTTGCAGTTTGTGATTAATTTTCTATATTCTGTGTGTTCTTTTTATCCATCATTTATGGATACACACCTTTGTGTTCTTGTTCTCACAGAGGGAATTTCACCTGCTTTAGATCAAGGACCCACAAAGCCAGGGTCTCCCCTGCCTGTACCTGAACACGAGAATCTTCAGATTCCTGAGTGGCCTTCGGCCCCAGAGTGGACATAACCCTCGTGGCAATGGAGGGGATCACACAGTCGGTCCTGGGAGACATGAGTCACCAGACAAAGGGTGGGTGGGCCTCCTCTGACCCCTTCCTCCAACACAAGGGTGATGCAGTGGGCCAGCAGATGTCTCGTCACTGCTCTCTAGCCTCATTTGGGACAAGTGATAGACATAGCAACACACACACACACACACACAGAGTCACACACACACACGTCACACATGCACCACAGTCATGCACACACATGCATCACACACATGCACCATACACACAGTCACGCACACACATGCACCATACACACAGTCACACACACACATGCACCACACACATGCACCACACACACAGTCATGCACACACATGCACCATGCACATGCACACACATGCATCACAATGCATCACACATGTATCACACGCAGTCACACACATACATCACACATGCACCAATGCACCAAACACACATCACACACACATCACAAATGTACCGCACACAGTCATGCATACAATGGACTGCACACACACATGCATCACACATGCACCACATGTGTATCACACACATACATCACACATGCACCACACACACGGTCACACACACATATGCACCACACACATGCACACAGTGCTCCCTCCTCTTCCTCTGCAGCCTTGCAGCCCCCTCTGCCATCTGGGGAGGGGTCCGGAGGCTAGAGGTCACAGTGGTCACCAACAACCCAGGGCAGTCTGGGAGTCCGTCCTGCTTCCTGTGAAAAGCACGTGCTCGAGAGAAGCGGGGGGACTCTCGCCTGGAACTGAGGGGACGAGGGGAACAGAGAACTTTCCCTGCAGCTTCTGCTGAAAATACATGAACTGAATTCCTGCAAGGTCTTAGCCTTTCTTCTCTCACATCCACTGAGCACCCGGCATGGCCCAGGCCCCAAACTAACCACACCATAACCATGGTGCTTGTCAACCATGCCATTAGTTCCAGGAATAAGTAGGGAGCTGACCAGAGGCAGCACGGGCTTGCGTGGACGCTAGTTCTGTGCCGTGGCTTCACGGACAAGAATCCTAGACACCTCCCCACAAGAGCCTTCCAGCAAGTCCCACGCCTGGGGAGGGACATGGTGGGACAAGAGCCAGCAGCCACCTGCGGGGGACAGGGAGAGGTGGAGGCTACTTAATGGTTTCCTTCACCCTCAGCAGGGATGTGAATAATGTTAGGGGCTTATGTGAAACTTAGCTAAGAGAAAACACCACAAAGTATATGAACATTAGTCAGAAAGTGTGCACACACACACACACACACATATGAACATATCCCTAAATCTGGGACGCTTAGCTCAAACTTGCCCCCCTACAAAATCCGGCCCAAAGTTTTGCCTTCTGAGAAATGGTCCTTGTTGTTAAAAATGACACACACACGGGGCCAGCACTGTGGTGCAGTAGGCTAAGCCTCCAGTTGTGGTGCCAGCATCCCATATGAGCACCCATTCATGTCCCGGCTGCTCCTCTTCCAATCCAGCTCTCTGCTATGGCCTGAGAAGGCAGTGGAGGATGGCCCAAGTGCTTGGGCTCCTGTACCTGGATGGAAGACCTGGAAAAAGCTCCTGGTTCCTGGCTTCGGATCTGTCCAACTCTGGCCATTGCAGCCATTTGGGGAATGAACCAGCAGGTGGAAGACCTTCTTCTCTGTCTCTCCGTCTGACTGTCTGTAACTCTACCTCTAAAAAACTAAATAAAATCTTAAAAATAATTATTCACACACAAACACAGAAAGTAAAGAGAATAGCAAGGTAATTGCCATGCGCTGTCCAAAAAATGAATGGATATTGTTTGCATCTCTGAATAGAATGAGTTTCCTAAATTCTCACAAGAATTGAAGCCTTTTCTTGTTTATAGCCCTTGTCTATACTCTTGAGGAACAGTGGTTTTTCTACTCACTGCTTGCTGAATGCTTTATTTAGTGGAGTAAGGTTAAGTGATTATAAAGTGAATTGAATATGTGTCTTTAGTAAAATTGCAAGAGAAACAAGAAAGGAAGGAGGGGTGAGAGTGAGGGAGGGAGGGAGGGTAAGGTGGGAAATATCATTATGTTCTTAAAACTTTATATAAGAAATACATGAAATTTGTCCCGTTTGTATAAACAAACAAAAATTAGAGAGCTGAGGACCTCCAAGATATGTGTTCGATGGTGCCACCTGGTGGATGCATCCTAAAAGTGCTACCAGCTCTGAGAGAAGACCACGTCTAGCACACATGAAGACACTCAATCCACTAGTTTTCCCCTGTGGGTTTCCTTTATTTCTCTCTGGGTATCCTCTGCCTCCACTCCATCCCTCCACAGCTGACCGATCCTTGAATTTCCCCTTTTCATCTCTTTCTGCTGCATTAAAGCAATTTTATAGCAAGATTTAC